TCCTGGAGAACCTAGAAAACAATGAGGACCCTAAGAGAGACATATATGAATCTAATCTACCTGAGAAGTAGAAAAAGACAAGATCTCCTAAGTAAACTGGAAGCATGGGGACCATGGGAAAGGGTTGAAAGAGATGGGAGAGGCAAGGAGGGGAGAAGAGAAAAATGTATATCTCAATAAAATCAATTTTTAAAAAAAGGAATCAGGCTAAGCAAGCCAGGAGAAATAAGCCAGTAAGCAGCTCTCTTCAGAATCAGCTCCCGCCTCCAGGATCTTGACCCATTTGAGTTCAGTGCCTTATTTCATTCAGTGATCAACAGGATTGTGGAGGTGTAAGTCAAATAAATCCTTTCTTTCCCGACTTGCTTCTTGGTCATGGTGTTTCATTGCAGTAATAGAAATCCTAACTAAGGCACAACAGTATACAAAATGAACTATGGCAGAGAATCAAGGTCCATAAGCACATGGACAAAATACATTAAACAGAAAACTGAGAAAAGACCAAATGCTACAGGATAGGGTATATATTGTATCAATGGACCTATAGTGATAGTCCATCAATCTTTCATAACCAAATGTGGGTCAAGCATGAGTCAGAATAAATCCATGCAAGTCAGGAAAGGTTGTTCACACTCATAGGGCTGTGTGCGAATGTCACACAAAAGGGAAAAAGTGCTTCTAACAGAAAAATTAACTTCATATAGATGGCACATTGTGGTCAGACTAGAAGAAAGACTGTTAAGTGAGCATTAATTATTTAAAACATATTCTTTGAGTGACAGATTTCAGAATGGACTATCTAAAATGAAGTTTTGAATACCAGTTCTTCTGCACTATTAATGACTTTCTGTCTACAGGAAGTTAAAAGTCCATCTTTTCTTACAATTTCTATGTAATTAATTATAAGGACTATTGTATGTCATCCCCAAACCCCAAATGATTAAAGTTTCAAAAAAGGAAATAAAAACTCTTAAGTTACTGAAAAATCGAAGTCTAGTATTTCTATTGTAGAGTAATGTACATTTCATTCTTACCTAGAAGTTATAATAAATGTTTTTTTTAAATATAAAATAATGATCAACTTACTTTACAATGAGAAACTAATGGTGCATCTGGTTTGTTTGTTTTATTTTGTTTTTGTAAGAAAAGATGGACTTTTAACTTTTCGATAAAGGAGCTAAAAGTATACAATGGAAAAAAGAAAGCATCTTCAACAAATGGTGCTGGTACAACTGGATGTCAATCTGTAGAAGATAGATCCATATCTATCACCATGCACAAAACTCAAGTCCAAATGGATCAAAGACCTCAATATCAATCTGAACCCACTGAACCTGATAGAAGAGAAAGTGGGAAGTACTCTACAACATATGGGCACAGGAGATCACTTCCTATGTATAACCTCAGCAGCACAGACATTAAGGGCAACATTGAATAAATGGGACCTACTGAATATTGAGATTTTATTTTTCTGTGGAGCTGAGAGGTGTCTTTCTGAGCCCTTGTTCCATAGCATCAGTACAGATATTAAACAGGAGGTTCCCATAAAGAGCCTGTATGAGGACCTGTCCAAGATACAAATATGTTTTCCCACATCACATTACCAAACTCAAGACCATATTTCAAAAAAGGGAGAGATGCAGGGCTTGGGAATAGTTCTTATAAAGATGCTTTAAACATCAAAAGTAATATTTGAAAAATAAGCAAACATTATGCATTTATATATTAATCTACAACTGAAAAAAGGACAAATGACACTGCTTGTTCTGTAGGCTTGCTGAGAGCTACTGAATGCCAGATCCCTCTGAATACACTCTGCTGAAGGCCAGTGTAGCTGCCAACCAATCTCAGTGATGTGGCTCCTTAAACAATACCAATAGCTTTGCATCCAAGCCGAAGCTTAAGTAGGTGTATTTAAATATGTCACAGAAATATGTCATTTTTTAATGCTTTTGGCACTTTTCTCCATTTGATTTGACCTTATACAAGGTACAAGCAATCTCTTATGGTTATTTTTTTTCTAAAAAGATAGGAATTAACACAACTTTTAAAACTACAGTGTAACCATTTCCTATTAAGACTTCAGCATTATTTTCTATTTAATCAAAATTGAGTCTATTCATTTAAAAAAAACGATATATTAGACCAAGGCAAGCTAAGCACAAAAGCAGCAGATTTTGTGGTGTAGGAAGATCTTCTTTCTATGTGTTGTTTTCATTGGTTGAATAAAGAAGCTGCCTTGGCCTTTTAATAGGTCAGCCCTTAGGAGGGTGGAGTAGACAGAAGAGAATTCTGGGAAGAAGAGCAGAGTCAGGCAGACACCATGGCTCTTCTCTCCAAGACGGACACTGATTAGACTCATGCTGGTAAGCCATAGTAAAGTGGCAATACACATTAATGGAGATGGGTTAAACTAATATGTGAGAGTAAGCCACTAAGAGGTTAGAACTAATGGGCCAGGCAGTGTTTAAATGAATACAGTTTCCATGTAATTATTTCGGGTAAAGCTAGCCGGGCGGCGGAAAGCGGCCCACTGCTCCTTTTACAACAATTTTGTATTATTTTATATGATGTGATTTGTAAAGCAAATTTTTCTCATAAATCAGCAACTACATTTAAACATCTTTTTTTATAAAGAACACAATTTTTATCTCTTCAGAATGAAATTTGAGCTTTCATTTCCTCTCTCTTCATTTTACTTTGTATTTTCTTCTTGAATACTGAGCAGGATTGGGGATAATCAGAATCTGAATATAATGATGACATCTGCACAGAGGAGTTGCTCAGAGCAGGTACCAGAACCCAGGGAGATGTAAAAGAGTATCTATGCAGGACTCTATTAGGAGGTATAGACTCAGGCAGGTAAGAAGAGCATTCTGGGGAGAAAGCCAGTCACATATGCTACAATAGGACCTAAGTAAGGTGAAATGAACTAGGAGATAGTGGTGGTGTAGCATGGAGACTCAGATCCCAAGCATGATGGGAGATCTATGCAGTATTTGGAGGCAGTTGCTGACAAACATAGCCAATGAGGAATCAACACAGTATTCATATCAAATTAACCTTAAACAGGTTATCAAAATGCAAAAAGCTAAGAAGGACAAACACTCAGTCAGCAGCCCTGTATGGGGTATCAAAACCCAGGTAAAAAGAACAAAGTTATTATCAAGAAGGCATGGGCATACAGTGACAGAGTGTGTGGTGAATGAAGAGGATACATACACCGAGGGATGCTCTGGCATGAAGTCAAGGCCCACGCAGAGGAAAGAAAACATTCAAATAGAAAGAAAAGGCCAACAAGAAGAAAACCAGAGGGGAGACAGGAAAACAAAGGCAGAGAGTAGTGGGGACTGATCTGTGAATAAACAGGGAAAAGAAGGTATACAGAGAAGGACTGGTGGGCGGAATAGCTTGTGTCTTGACCAGTTCTAGCAGGCTGAGGCAAGTTTGTCTTCAGTAAAGGAGTAACAACAAAAATTTGGATGAAATGTTATATTCAAAAGGACTAAAGAAAGACACCAAGAAAACAAAACAAAGAAAAAGAGGTCCTCACTGCAAATTAAAAGAGTTAAAATTACAGGTGTTTTTAAAGCCCTCTTGGACATTCATCAAGAACAACCACCTGTGACTGCAGGTCCAGGGAACCCAACATTCTTTTCCAGCTTCCAAGTATACCTACATACACATGCACATAAGCAAAGATTTTTAAGAGCAATTAAAGTGGTATAACAACTTCCCCGTGTGTACAAGGCCCTAGTCAATTCCCACCACCTCAAAACTCAAAACAAAACAAAACAATCCTTACAACAGAACTATTTAGAATTTTGACTATAGTGATTGTGGATAAATTTACAATGAAGACTGATAGTACATAAGAGACAAATTCTGTGAATGTCAGTTTTCTAGTTGTGGTTAATCAAAATATTACCATCACTGGACACTGGGTAAAGGGTGGGTAAGTTCTCTACATATTAATAACAACTCCAATAAAATCTACAGTCATCTTAGAATAAAAAGTTATCCTTTTTTAAGAAATAAAAAGATCATCTTTCTACTTCATTTATTTGTGATTCCTAGAATTCTATATTATAATAAAATACGAAGTTTATCGAGTCTGATACTAATAAGAAATGAAGTACTGACATAAATAGGGCAAGGAAAAACTCATTCTTCAATAAGAATCCTAATGTGATAATGAAGATAAAACCACTTTGGGAAATATAATGTAGCCATTAGAGTATCATGCAATATAGGATGGAGACACCCTCCTTAGATGTACCTTACTATAGTGGTGATAATTTCGGAGCAAAGGTACATTGAATAGTTCCAGTGAATCTCCCCTACAATAACACTATGGTTTTAAGATTCATTGTCCAAAGTCCCATATGTTAAAGATGTGGTCCCCAACTTACGTTACTAGTAGGAAGTGGCAGTAATTTTATAATGTGAGGCCTTTGTGAGGTGTTAGGTCATTGGGAGTAATCACTTGAAGGTGACTGTTTGGGCAATACAAAATCTTTTTTTAAAAGTCTATTTCCATAAGACAAATGGCAACAATGACACATTGTCTTAGTCAGTGCTCTACTGCTATGAAAAGAACCATGACCATAGGATCTCTTAAAAGGGAAAGCATTTAATTATTGGGGCTTGCTTATAGTTTCAGAGGTATAGTCCATTCTCAGCATGACAACACATGGGCAGACATGGTACTAGAGAAGGATCTGAGAGTTCCACACCCAGATCTGCAGGAAAGAGGAAGAGAAACAGCTTCCACACCTGGCTTGAACTTCTGAAACACCAAAGTCCAGCTCCAGTGACACTCTTTCTCCAACAAGGCCACACCTCCTAATCCCTTCAAACAATGTCACTCCCTGGTGACCAAGCATTTGAATCTATGATCTTATTCAAAACACCATAGACATCAAATGTATTAGCAATATTCTACTCTTAAAATGAGCTGTCTCATCTATAGATGCATCTAATATAAGGTGTTGTCTCACCTGGCCAGTTCTTTAATTAAGTTGGCAATGCGCCTTTTGTCTTCAAGACATAAATCTTTCAGTGATGCACTCTTCATTCCTTCCTTGTAGAAATTCTAGAATAAAACACTTCTTGTTAATTTTTTTTTTTACTATAAACAATTGTTAAGTACTTTTTGAGAAAGAATGCTCGGGTGACATTGGAAGACACTAAGAATATCTGACACTGTAGTCAAGACTGTTTTAAGACATGAAGCTGTAGATCTTTAAAAAATCAGAATTCAGAAGGGACAGATCTAAGAAGACTTGGAATTTACCTCTAGTGTTTATCACATGCTAAGAATGTGATAAGTACTTTTTACCTGTTACTCCATATTATTTTAATAGCAGTGCAATTAGGCAGGCATTGTTTCAGTTCTTTAAGAGTATCCAGATTGGCCAAGGTTATAGCAGCCACATAACAGAATGGGGTGCAAAGATGGGCTGTGGTCTTAAACACTATGCTATGATGTGGGAGGTCCTTCTGTCTATATGTTTCTTTTATTGGTTAATGGATTAAAAAATGGCTTGGCCTATAGAATGGGAGAAGGAAGGTGGAGTTAGGGAGAAGCCATGGGTCCTCTGCCTGAGACAGATGCTGAAAACTTTAGCAGGTAAGTCACAGCCATTATTACATAATAACAGAAATGGGTTAGTTTAGGATATGATTTTATCCAGAAATACGCTTAAGCTATTGGCCAAACAGTATTGCAAATAATATGGTTTTCTGAACGGTTATTTTGTGGCTGGGCAGCTGGGAACCAACAAGCAACCCTCCATTCAACAATGCTACTGTGTTTTGTAGTAGAGTGGGTTTTCTCCAGTACTGTAACAACTTCAGAGGGATCTTTAAACCCATGAAATTCAAGGAGTCACTGGAGAACCCAGAATTCTTGGTGCTATACATAGTTACAGGTAGTCGATATTCACCATGTGGTTACTGAGATTTGAAACTGGGACCTCTGAAATAGTAGCCAGTGCTCTGAAACGCTGGCCATCTCTCCAATTAAGTTTCCTGGTTAAAATGATTGAACAAGTGGTGACATGTTAGTAAAAGAAACTTTACATCGGTAAGAGAAGCTTAAAAGTTCCATATACAGCATCAAGAATTCTCACGAATAGACTGAAAAGCAAAACACTTAATTCTATAATAGATATTGTATGTGTGTTTATATAAAGTTCCAAACATATAAAACCAAACATTACTGAAAAATAAAAATACATTGCTTTATGTAGGACAGGTGAAAACTACACCTGAAAGACAAAATTAGCTTACTACATATGTTTGTAAATGAAATTTTATTTTAAAAAACAACAAAAACCCACTAAGTAAATAATTTACAGAGTCCCTAAGATTATTTCCATGCCACAGGAATAAAGTTGCATAAATGAGATGGATTATTTTGGTCTGTAAGTCAAAGAGCCAAGTCAGTAAGTGGTATTCCTCCATAGACTCTGCTTGAAGTTCCTGCTTAACTCCCTGTTCTGTTTTCCCTTTTTTGGGACTATGACCTGGAAGTGTGTGCTAAATAAACCATTTCTTTCCCACGTTGCTTTTGGTCAGAGTGTTTAAACACAACTACAGAATAAAATAGGAAACTATGCAAATGAAACAATACAACAGCTGGAAGAAGCGTAACTAGCTAATGGCTTTCATTTATGCCTTTCTGGGTGTGCTGCAGTGCTCATACCAGCATCAACTAACAGAAGAAACACGGCAATGCACCATTTCTACTCCTAAAGCCATCTGAAAAGACGCATTGTTCACCACCAAATCCTGTTCACTGCCAGACAATCATTAGTAATACATATCAAAAATGTCTGCATGACATTAGGAATTGTAAAACACTTTCTCCAACTAGTCTGACCATAAATGTTTGGGCTATTTTGGGCTTTGGGGGGTAATAGTCACTATAGCTACTCTGTGATTCTACAAAAGCAGTCATAGGCAATACCTCAAAACATAAGCCTACCCAGGGGTTAAAAAAAATTTATTTATAAAACAAGCTGTTGTATAGCTGCCTCCTTCAAAATGAAGCCCTATTTTTGAGGGACTGAAGAAGCTTAAGTCTTCCAAGGCTCAGGAAGTGCACCTCACAAAGTCCTACTGCTCCCAAAATTTTAAGGGCAGGACACAGTACCTGAGGAGAGAGTTGCTGCCTACAAGTTGAGGAGGGACCTCCAGGGCATAACTGTTCTGAGTTGTCACCCATAGTGGGGTACATTTTGGTGATGTAGCTGCCTTGGAATTTTGCATGCTCTTGTAAATCATCCCAGTAAACTCACTGATTCACCAAGCTAGACTGAGTCTGTTGTCCTTGTCTTATCTAGGATAGATAACAGATTGATCAGTTTCCCCCCAGAAAATGTCACACACCATAAGAAAGAAGATTCTGCCCATGAACCCTAGATTACAAACACTAATGTCAAACTTTGATTGAGGAAAGAAAATTTAACAATAGTTATAGCATTACAATAAAGTGAATTTCATTTGAAATACAGCAGTTAAAACAAACAGAAAAAGACATACACCAAAGGAATGTGCAGATACCATTATGAAGACAAAGAAAAGGGCAAAACTAGTCAATGGCCTATAAAAACAAGAACTGTTGGCAGGGAAAGTAGTTCAGTAGACAAAGAATGTTAGCACTGTAAAAGTCAGGAGCCCCCAAGTCACATAAAACTAGGCAGGCAATGGTGGCCACCTCTATTCCCAGCAGTTGGGAAGCAAAGACAGAGGATCCCCTGAGGAAACTGGCTAGCTAGATTAGCCATATTTGGCTATATCTGGGTTCAACATAATATCCTGCCTCAAAAACAAAGTAGAGAGGAACTGAGGAAGAAATTTGGTGTCAAGTTCAGGCCTTCATACACACAAATATGAATACATGGATAGGCACAACATATGTATATGCAAAAAAGATGACAAAAAATAAAAGAATAATAAAGAAAGATGAGCTGGAAAGATGGGTCAATGCTTAAGAATGCTTGGTGTTCTTGCAGAAGACCTGGGGTCAATTCCCGCCACACACAGGGTGACTCACAACCATCTGTAACTCCAATTCCAATGGATCCCATGTCCTCTTCTGGGCTCCTTTGGCACTAGTCAAACATATGTGCAGGCAAAACACTCACACACATAAAATAAAATAAATCTGTGATACATCCAGAGTTTTACTGCGATCCCAGTATTGGGGGGGGGGGCAGAGGCAAGAAAATAATGAGCTCAAGGTCAGACTCAGTTACACAACAAATTCAAAGCCTAATTCATATATTTGAGACACTGGTTCAAAACAAAACAAAGCAAAAATGTTTAGTTTTGTTATTCTAAAATACAGAACAAAACAAACTCTGAAAAATTTTAATGACATTATTTTCTAAGTCTAGGTCATAAAAATGCAGACTGATTTTCCTAATATAAGCTTCATTCTAATATGAAAGTATCATCCATCAACTAATAAATTTTGAGAAAAAAAAACACAAACAATACCTAACCATAAAAATAGTGAATTTAACTTACTCATGAGTGCCAGAAAAGAGGAACATGGAAAATTTAAACCTTTTGAGACACAGTAAGATAATACATTTTCTTGGCAAAGACTTAGAGCACATCTATTATACATTTTAGAGCAAAACTCTCAAGAAGTCCAGATACTTTATGTTGATACTTAGCACTATCAAGGGCCACAAAAGGTTTGTGTCTTCTACAGGCCATCTTTTAAAGGTTTTTGTGTCTTATTGAGCATTATGTATAAAAACCAACAAGCTCAGGAGACGGCTTAGTCAATGAAGTGCCTGTATCTCAAGCATGAGCATCTGAGTTCAAATGAGGACAGAGTAGCACTTGCCTGTAACTTTGCTACTAGAGGGGGCTGTAAAGGATGGAGACTGACCAGGGCGAGCTCTGGGTTCAGTATGAGACCTGTGTTATAAACAAAATACAAACCCATCCCACCCCACCCCATCCCACTCCACCCCCAAAAAAACCAACAAAGTAGAGTGTTAGAGGGGTAGAGGATGAGGAGGATACCTAACTTTGGTTTCCACACATGCACACACATATGTACTCATTTTCACACCCACCACTACCACCCAACCCAACTCATGCACTCGTGTACGTACACACACACACACACACACACACACACACACACACACACAGAAAAACAAATATAAAAAAAAAAGATTACTGACCTGTTCAGCTACCAAATCTCCTGCACCTTTTAAAGACTCCATGGAAGCATCAGTCACCCTGGAAGCCTTAACTTTAACATCAACTTTTGGATTTATCAACTTGAGTCTTGATCTTGTATTTCCTTCTGTGGATATTCCTAAGAATGTTCATTAAACAAGACTTCAGATTTGATCTTAATCTTTTCAGCTTCCCCACATCCCCCATTAACCCTCTCTTGGTATCATGTACTTTATTGGACCTGATGAGAAAAAATTTATAAATTTCAATTTAAAGTGCACGTGTGTGTGTGCTTGTGTGCACACAATCACAAAAAGGTTACTTATAGAAAATTCTGTAATTCAGTTAGGTACTGGAAGGATTTTTAGATCACATTAAAAGCAATAAGTTACAACATACTGAGATGGCATGGGACATCAAGGAACCAGATGGTTTTTACCCTGAGTACCTTCAATGATTCTGCTTGATTACTCATCCAACTGAACAGTCAGTAAGCATAAAGACTTGTATTTAATCTGGATCAACTTTTCATATTTTCTTTTGAGATATGAGATGTAAAATTTCAAAAAGAATCTCTTTTCTTTAATAAATGACACATTGTATAAACCATAAATGCTGACTTGCCCAGCCAGACCCTAAAAAGAACCAATATTCAAATCTTAAGAAGTTATAGTCAAATATTCACAAACATTTGTTTTTTAAATTTGTTTTTAATTATATAGAAATGAATTGTTCCATATCCAATTGCACATACAAGGTTGTTGTCTCAATATTTAATTTTCTCCTAACAATTAAGAAACAAGGGAAGTTTAAGAACTTTAATGTAGATGTCATACCTGGAACATAAACTACTGATTGTTCTTCATCAGAAACTAGGGAGGAGAACATGAAGGAAAATACTTTAAAACATCATGAAATATGCATGCATATCTGTAATAAAACTTCATCTATTTTGAACTGAGAAGTTATAACTTACTTAAAAAGAAAACTAGAAAAATAATGAGTATTTCATAAAAGTTCAACTTTGGATAGTCATAACCGTATGTGTAGAGAAGACACTGGAAGCCATGGTTCATGCATCTTTCCTTCACACCTATTCCCAAATAGGATACTTTTGGGATATATGTTTTGGTATTGTGCTGTTTTCCTTTTATGAAAAAGGGAGTTAAGCACCATTGAGGAACTGACAGTTATTTTAGGCAGAAAGAATAAATAATTCCAAGACAGGCATTAGCTGTGAAGATCAAACAATGTTTCAGGGCAAATCAATCATGCAAACACAAAGGCAGTATTTATTCTTCTGTAATACATTCGGGAAATGTCCCAAAAAGCCCTACTATAGAAGATATGGGAAAAATTTTAGAACAAAAAAGAACTATTTTGAATTTCAAAAGGTCTATAGCAAATATATATGTGTATATATACATATATAAACTTTTCTTCTGATAGTTTGTTTTCTGTTGCAAATATGTATATATATATATAGTATGAGTATATATTTTCATGTGCATGCAAATGTATATACACATATATTTGCTACAGATGTGTATATACATATATGTATATATGTATATGTTTATAAATATATACATTTGCTAGAGAAAAAGAAAATCACAAAAAAGCTTTCTTTCTAGAGGATCCTATTAGGAACTCTGCCTAAATCCAGATACACCTATATAAACCTACAATTTGATAACATTCCAGGCAAGAAGCATATAAACAATATTCCATCCAAACTATATAGGAAATTTCAATTTTTTAGTTTATAAAATGTTTTTAAAGATTTCTAGACACCACAGTTATTAACCACAGTTGTGTGAAAAAATGATATAGCGGGTTCCATAACATATCTATAAGGTCAACATAAAGGTTAATTCCGAAGTCAGGATCATACAGAAGGTCCAGATTAAGGTCTATGGGCTACTAAAAGAACCCAACCTACTGAACAGGGGAAACAGATTTTATAGGGAGGAGGAGTTGGGGGCAGGAGAAGCACCAAAATACACGCTGTATATGTATAAAATTATAATTTAATAATAAAGTAAATAGATACATATTTTAGCTCAGTATTAATCCTAGCAAGGGAATCTTATTCCAGGGAACACTATCAGAATTGCCTAACAATATGATAGGTTTAGTGATGCAAGCCTATAACTCCAGCTACTAGGGAGGCTGAGCAGGTAGAGACCAAGACCTGCCTGGATTACAAAATGAGTTTAAGGACAGTCTGAATTGGGACCCTGTCTCCAAGGCGGAGAGGGTGGAGATGTGAGCTGGGTGAGGACTGGGACAGTAGAAGGCTTACCTGGCATGAGCAAGGTCCTACGTTCTATCATCCACAGTAACAGAAAAGCAGGAACTCTCAGATGCCACCCACCGCCTGAGCTACTGGGTGTTTTCTTCTGCAGCACAAGTACACGTGCTATCACAACTCTGAGATTTGGGTTGGCTGGCTAGGTGGTGGTACAGACCTATAATCCCAGTACTCAGGGGAAGAAGGCAGAAGATTAAGAGATCAAAGCCAGCCTCCACTACATGAAACCTTGTCTCAAATATAGAAATACCTACAAAAAGATGTTCACTGAATAATAAACACTCATAAATTTTCAATTTCATCAAGCAATGTGGATGAGGTCTGACAGTATTGGAGAATTAGAATTACTACTATTCCAAAGAAGCCAACTTTGACTTCACCATAACCAATCTCAAATAGCTCTAGGAAATGAAATGGTATGGTCTCCTGAGCAACAGAAACCATTTTTTTTTTACTTTATATACTCTAAGATTAACACACAGACTTTATACACAGTGGGCACTTGATAAATGTGTGATGTTTGAAATGTACTTGACAAAAACAAAAATAGGGGAAAAAAATCAAGACAATGTTACAAAACATGTTCCATAGAGCAGTGCTTTTAATTACAAGATAGATGCAGGGTGTTCTCCAAAGATGTCCTGGAAAACACATTATATTTTCTAGGTCATTCACAAAAAGCCTGCTCACAACTGGAAGAGAAAAACCTGAGTCTAGAATTGGGAGCCTACTCAGTTTCAGAAGCTCAAACAAGCATCCCCTCTCTCCTCCTCCTTCAATCCTGACACTTCTACCATTCTTACTCTCAGCTGATGTTCACCATTTCCTTAAGAATACAAACTGTAAAGACCTTCCCAATTTTCCCTTCTTGCTACAGAAGAAGTGTTCACGCACTGATCTAAAGGCAATGGAGCCCTTACACACACACACACACACACACACACACACACACACACACACACACAGACAATTCCTTTTTTCCCTTTTCTCCCAAGGATATTGCTGCTGATGTTTTTGATCCTCCTTCTGTTTAAGCTACCATATTTTTTCTATTAACTATTCCTATTAGTATCTAAAGATGTACTACTCTTTTAATTTTTTAAAAAAAGGAAAATAAATTCCTTAACCCTGCAGACCCTCCAACTACTGCACTACATACCCCTTTACAGCCAAACTTCTCAGAAGAGACATCCCACAGTCTCCAATTCCTCCCCTCCTAATTAGTCATGAACCTATTCAATCAAGCTTTGATTCTACCAATCCAATAAAACTAAACTAAAACCCATATTGGTAAACTTATCAATTAATTCATAAGCTTCTTTGGATTTGATCTATCAGTAGCATTTGATATAAATGACCACTCCTTAAAATTTGAAAGTGAGAAACCACACTCATAAATTCCTCTGCTTTCCTAACACTTCCTGCTCCTTCCCTTCAACTCCTCCTAGACTAACCATTCCTCATCACTTTGGAGATCCCAGGGCCCCCAATTTAGAGGGTTTTTTCTTCCCTTATTTTACTGATGATCTTGATTCTCCTATCTTTAAGTACTATAAGTAAGTTGATTTCTACCAAATTAATCTCTAAATCAAGCATACCTGCTAAATTTAACACTGATACATAAAAGATACCAGATTCAGTTAAGTCCACTTCTGAAGCTCTTACTTACATCTCAAAGGTCACCCCATCAGCTTTCCCATACTCCTAGCTGCCCAAAATGTGGAGATATTCTTTTATTTATTTATTTATTTATTTATTTATTTATTTATTTATTATTTAAAGATTTCTGTCTCTTCCCCCCAGCCGCCTCCCCTTTCCCTCCCCCTCCCCCAATAAAGTCCCCCTCCCTCGTCAGTCCAAAGAGCAATCAGGGTTCCATATTCTTGACTTTTATTTCCTATCTCACATTTGGGAAATTCTGTTGTCTTAACTTTTAACATACACCTACAGCCCAACAACTTCTGCAAAACAATGGCACATAAATCCAAATCACCATTTCTCTCACCAGGATTATAGACATTGCCTCCAAATTGCTCTCTCATTTCCAATCAGAACTCATCAACATTCTACTTTTTTGTTGTTGATGATTTTGTGTGTGTGTGTGTTTTGTTTTTTTCAAGACAGGGTTTCTGTGTCCTACCTGTCCTGGAACTTACTTTGTAGACCACTCTGGCTGACTTTGAACTCACAGAGATCCACCTGCCTCTTCCTCCTGAGTGCTGGGATTAAAGATGTGAGCCAACACTGCCTGGCAACATTCTACTTTTTAAACAGAGGTCAGAATAAACATTTTAAAACTTTGTCTTGTTCCTATTTAGAATAAACATCCAAGTATGTACAAGGCCTATAATGCTCAAGACCTGATCCCTCCACCCGATCTCTCTCCTCATTTCTTGATACACTTACCATTCACTCCTAGCATCCATGAATCTGGTAATGACTACAAAAGCTCCTATGTTAGAGCTGGTGTACTTATGGTTTCTTTGACTACATAGCTTTTCCTCCAAGCACTCATACTTACTCATTATCTTTAGGCCTTTGGCCATATATCACTGTTTGGCTGAGGCCTTCATTGCCTAACCACATAGGGACTTAAACTACACAATTCTCTCCAACTGTGATTCCTCTGCTCATCCTTGGCCTTTTCCTACTTTATTTTTCTCTGAAGGATCTACTATTAGTAGATGCATGCATTTCGTTTATTCATAGCCTTGTCTCATCTCTTTAAAATGTTAACACCAAAAAAGATGATTTTCATGCTGTATATTCAATTTTGTATGCATTTCCAAACAAAAAGAATACCTAGTATTTACTAAGCCATCTAAAAGGAATAAAATTGATACTTATTTTTGAGGCATGAGTCCAACAACTGTAAATATTAATTTCAAAAACATTTTTAAAAATAGCATTGGAAGTTGTCTCTTCCAATAACATAAAACAACCTATTGTCTCATTAAGAACTCAAATATTTAACTTATATAAACTCTCCCAACAAAGCTATACTGTTTAGAAAGGCCAAACAGACAAAGGGCATACCAAATATATATTAAAACTGCATGCCAGATTATTTATATATTTTGTTAGTTAGAAGTAATTAAACAAGAATTTCTTCAAGTTACAAAATATTCTTGATGATGATAACAATCTACCTATATCCCCAGAAGGAAAGTAGTTATTGGAAGCCAGGGCAGAAGTGGTATAGAGGAACAAGTATGTGAAATAAATAAGCTAAGTAGGGCTGGAAAGATGGCTCAGAGGTTAAGAGTACTGACTGCTCTTCCAGAGGTCCTGAGTTCAATCCCCAGCTACCACATGGTGGCTCACAGCCATCTGTAATGAGATCTGGTGCCCTCTTCTGGCCAGCAAGCATACAGACAGAACACTGTATATATAATAAATACATTTTTTAAAAAATAAAATAAATAAGCTAAATATTGCTTACTGTTCTCTAATTCTTTGAATAATATATCATTTGCCACCAACACAGGTATATTTACTACAAAGGTTTTGAGGTCAATTAGGCTTAAGTCAATGTAAAGTCTCAATCTATTTTTATTTGAAAATTCAATGACAGAAATGATAATTATTGCAATGTTTTGGGCCACTCCTTTGTAGTTTACTTTATTTATATTGTTATTAAGTCTGTTAATCCAGCAAGAGCACATTAGTAATTGAATTTAGATACTGAAGAAAGAGTATCCACTTCTAACACTACTATGAACTATGTGGATTAGTAGGCAATGTCCTTCTGTGTCTGTATTGCTTTTATTCGCTAATGGATAAAGCTGTTTCAGCCAATGGCTTAGCAGAGCCAGGTGGTAAATGTGAACAGAGATATAGAGAGAAAGTGGCAGAGTCAGAGAGATGCCACGTAGCTGCTGAAAGAGACAGATGTCAGAATGCCAAAATCTTACAGGTAGGTCACAGTCTAGTGGTGATGCACAGATTAATAGAAATGGGTTAATTTAAGAAATAAAGAGTTAGCTAGGACTATGCCTAAGCAATTGTTCAAGCATGTTATAAATAATATAGTTTCTGTGTGATTTTTTTGGGTCTGAATGGCCAGGAATGAAAGAGCAGTTTCTGTTTACAAAATGGCACCCACCACCTGAGGCAGCCTCTTGGTAGTTGCAATTTTTTTTTTTTCCAGATAGGCTCTGTTTGCTGGTAACAAGCAAAGGCATGGCTCCATTAAAAGAAATCTCCTGGCTCAGCATTAGCAAAAAAAAAAAAAAGAAAAAAAAAAAAAAAAAAAAAAAGGAAAGAAAGAAAGAAAGAAAGAAAGAAAGAAAGAAAGAAAGAAAGAAAGAAAGAAAGAAAAGAGAAAAAAAACTGTGAGGCTCCTTTAAGAGCCAGCTTCCTGGTTTGGGCTGGCAGCCATGAACTGGCTTTCGGTAGGTCCTGCACTTAAATTGTGTTTGTGAGCAGCATGCTACAAATTGTTTAATGGTCACAAAGACCTGCTGTGTCCCTGAAGCTGGGGTGATATGCATGCCTCCATAATGTTGGACTGGGAAGAGCCAACAGGCAGGGCCATGGAATTGGTCCTAGCCATGCCCAACAAGCACTTAAAAAAAAAAAAGGAAGGTACTTATGGTCAGAAAATGATTGCAGCTATGCAATAAAGACAGATTCAGACAAAAAAAAAAAAAAAGAGAGAGACTCCTAAATGGGTTACAGTATAGGTTAATGTACATGGGCTTATGAGAGAGAAAAAAGAGTACAGAAAGTCATAGATTAAAGAAGTAATAATTAAATATTAAAAGGTAATAGAGTAAAACAAAGTAAGTCATGTAAAGATGGAAAACACACAGAGTCTGGATTATGTATATTATTGCATTTTATTTACATTTTTGACTGCAGAGAGACATTTTATTCTGGGGGTTGTTAAGTTAAATCAACATAAAGGTATCTTGACTTCAAAATTTGGGTCTAAGGATATGTTGCTTTGGAAAAGAGGTTCTGCTTTTGTTTCCACAGAACATGAGAACCTGTGGATTCCTTCCAGGCTTATGTGGTTTTATAAAACAATACCCCCAAAAGGTCTCTATGAACCATAAAAGCACTTTGCCCAACAAACAACAGGAAGAAGTTTGGAGAAATCAATGCCCAAATTCACAAAATGATTATTTGTAAATGTTTGTTTTCATTTAAAGGGGGTTGATTATAAATGGCTAAGTACCCACAGTCAATCTCTTTCTTAAAAAGGCGGGGGGAGGGGATACGATATAAAGACGAATATTTAGCATTGGTATGGATCTTGGTTTATTGACACAGATTTAAGGTCGATTTATTATAGTGTGTGTATTTCTGCTCATTTAAAGTATTGTGTTTGTGAAGCTCATTTAAAAATGTATAGTTAAGAAATAAAGATTAATGATAGTGATTTATAATAGTCAAACTTGTAGTCTAGTTAGTTAGGTTTTCTAGATATATAGAGATATATTTAAATTAGATAGGTAATCTTCAATACTTCAAAGACCTACAGAATATGGCATTTAAAATGTTTTAGGAACTTAAGACTTTTCTCAACAGTGAGACATGTCTGCTTCTGGCAGCATCAATTACTTCAAGAGAAAGATGAACATCGAAGAGTTTCCTTAAGGACTTTGCTAGACATTTGGGCAAGAAACTGCTCTTGCCTGGACTGCTTGTTATGCTGTATGAACTGGACATGCAGGACCCACAGAAATGACTGCTGAACTTGCCTAAAGGTGTGACAGTCATTTAGGGTTCCTGCTTCATGAAAGAGTCTGCCATTTTTCAGGCAGGACACAGGAGAAAGTGACTGACAAACTACCAATATAGGTGAAACAGTCTTTCAAATTTCCTGCTTCATCGACAAGTTTGCCAGATACTATGGCCTGTAGGCTGAAGATGGATTTCCCAACTTCACAAAACTTTGCATGACTATCAAGGTATCAAGATGTCTCTGTCATTTGTAGAACTTTGGAAGTTGCTTACAATGAACTTCCTGTTTACTTAGGTAATATTATATCCTTCTGGGGTCTATGAAGAGTTGAAGACATATAGTTATGGTTATAGTTTTCCTTAGTTATAATAAAAGATAAATTAGATATGAAACTCTAGATTCATAAAGAAATACTGTAACTGCAATTGTTGCTTGATAATAGTTTTGCTATATGTAATTTTACTATGTTAAAGTTAAAACCTTCCTTTTAATTAGAAGAGAGAAGATGATGTGGAATGTCCTTCTGTATATGTGCTGCTTTTATTGGCTAATGAATAAAGCATTTTTTGGTCAATGGCTTAGCAGAGTAAAGCCAGATGGGAAATCTGAACAGCAATATAGAAAAAAAGTGACACCATGTAGCTGCCAAAGGAGACAGATGCCAGAATGCTAAAACCATATAGGTAGGCCACAGCCTGGTGGTGATATACAGATTAATAGAAACAGGTTAACTTAAGATATAAGAGTTAGCCAGGAATATGCCTAAGTGATTGGCCAAGCAGTGTTGTAATTAATATAGTTTCTGTGTGATTATTTGGGTCTAGACGGCCAGGAACGAAAGAGCAGTCTCCATTTACAGTAAAGAAATCTACACTCAGCTGGGTGGTGGTGGCATACCCTTTAATCCCAGTACTTGGGAGGCAGAGACAGGAGGAGCTCTGTGAGTTTGAGGACAGCCTGGTCCGCAAGAGTAAAATTCACAACCAAAAACCCAGCGTTTTACCAGAAGATTTTAACCCACAACTGCAATGTGGCATTCTCACATTAGATGCCAATACCTTGTGTCAAACAGCACCACTGAATCATATATGCAGAGGATACAAACAACTTTTTTGAAAGTGATGACCAATCACTAATTATCTGCTCTCTCATGATGAAAACTTCCAGGATTGAGAAATCTCTCAATTACATTTATTTAATCATTTAAGTGAAGCACTGAGAATCTTTTATTCAGTAAAGCACAAAGAATACCAGATCATAGGTGCATACCATTTGACTTTATCCTAGTGGGATTTTATTCTGGAGAAGCCTGGGGAATAATCATCAATGTGTCAGGAAGAAATGGAGATCCAAAGACCTAATAGTTCATATTTATCATTACATTTTTTTCAGCAAATAGCAACAATGTACATTTAACACAGCTGTAGGTCTTTGGAAATTTAGAATGAAAATATCAGAAGCTGAGTGTTAATTGGTTATTAGATGGAATAGGCTAAGGAAAAAAGCAATACCAATAACTGCAATTCCCTTCTTATATCTGAATTTTACATTAACTATTCGGCCCATGAGGAAATGTAAAAGGTAGGGAGTATGTTATTACGTCTGTAACAAATGATGAGTGTTATGACTGCACAAATGAGTACAAGGGAGCCAACAACAAAAGCAAAGGTTTGGACCACATACTGCTCATTCTAGTCCCAGTGAAACAGACTGTCATCTCCTCTATTGTATATCAGAAAAATACCTTTAGCTGTTATAAGGAAATAACTCTTTATGTTTCCTAAGGACAAGCCTGGTCCCAGTTTCCTGAGTTCCTAATTCAGCACAGCGGTCCTGATCCACATATTTGCTTTCCAACTCTAATAAGTGGGAAAATTGCTTTGAAAGTACACCGGTATGATTTCTTTTACATTACCTGAGATAATTTTATTTGTTCCTCGCTCACCTATCAGAGACAAGCAGTAATTCCGTTTAGTCAGTACACAACATTAAACCCTTGGCAGCTCAGATCGCAAAGGCATTCCTGCCTGCGTGCACGAAGCTCTAACCCAAGTAACTCAATAAAGGAAACTGGTAATACAATTTTCTAAGTTTCACTGGGAGCTATGTCGAATAGAATGTCCAGAGTGATTCTGCCAAAGGTAACAGTAACGCCTAAAACAATGTCATTGCCACACCTAGCAAGCCAACTGCCCTCTTTTCAGGCACTCAGGGACACTGATTACGTGTTCACTCCACTAATGTCCCTCCAGCAAGGAAGTACATAACCATGGCCAACGCTTAGGATGCAAGAGCTAATCTAATCCTAGAAATGAACCCCTGGAAATCTCATCAATTATTGAACCGGGGATTCTAACTACTCCGCGACTAGAAAGCTCCAGTTTCCTGAGCAAAAACAAGCCTCAAACTTCAATTTCCAACAAGGGTGTTGCACAATCTAGTAAGTCAACACTGCTTCCAGGCACTTCCTAATGCATCCCCTAACTAGCACCAGCGATCCAGCCCCAGATGAAACCTACACCTTCTTAAAGGCGCAGGAGTAAACACAGCATCACTAAAGGGCCTTTCTTAGTCCGAGAAGCAAGCAAAATCACCTGATTTGCTCCCAGTGGCGCACACTAAGGCTAATTCGAAATCAAGAGAAAAAGACACCTTGCCCACCCAGCAAAGTGTGTCCACCCCCACTTGCCTTCCCAACCACACAAACTCATTCGCACCCTCCCTCAGCCAGTGATTTCCCGGCAAGGGTTGGCAAAGGAGCTGCTCCAGCCCTGCCTGAGGCGTCCCCATTAAAGGCCATCTTTGCGGAACCCACAGCCGAGGAGGACGGATTTCTCACGAGCCAGAATTCCCACCTAGCGACACCTCGTCGCCAGGCAGGCGCGGGGACACCCAGCTCGGAGTGGAAAGGCCCGTCCCTGGCCCGGCGTGCGCGCCGCACTTCTCTGGCCCAGGAAAGCCTCGCGCCCCCACCCTCGCCACCCCGGACGGCGCGGCGCCCCCTAGCAGCGGGGCAAAGGATACAGTCGCGGCTCCAGAACGCCGAGCCCGGCAGGGAGGGGCCCGCCGCACCCGCCATCTTGAAACAACCGCCACTCGAGGCGTCGCGCCGGGGCCGCCACGCCCCAGCCTCCAGGCTCAGTCCCCATTGGCCGCTCGGCGCAGAGGCCCGCCCTCGCTTGCGCCTCCGGCCCTGGCGAGGGGAGAAGCTCCCGGTCGAGGCGAGGCGGGGTCGCGGAGATGTGAGCTGAGGCCCGCGCCAGGGTCGCGGGAACGAGCGCCCGGCGGAACTGCTGCTGCCAGGGTCGCCCGGGCCACCCATCCTCTCCTCGCCGAGCCGTCAGGCGCCGAAAACTACAACTCCCGGCATGCCGTGAGCCCGACGGCCGCAGAGCTGAGGCGGGGTCGGGCACGTCAGCCGGCCGGCCGGCTCTCCGCGGCGGCCCCGGTCACTGTGGCCGGCGCCGCGCGCGGAGTGGGGACGCGTGCCATGGAGGAGACGCCGCCCCCACTACAAGCCGGCAGCAAGCCGCACCTGGAGAAGCTGACCCTGGGCATCACTCGCATCCTAGGTGAGTGGACAAGGACAATGGCTGGGGAAGGACCAGGGCGGAGGGCTGGGGCTGGGTGCGCTGCAGGGAGCTGGACCTGACTGCAGGAGTCCTTGCTGTCGCGAATTCCGCAGAGGAGGAGGAGAAAAGGGGGTGTGTGACCAGGTCGCTAAGTGTGTGCAGAGAGTTCGGGAGGGTAGCCTCACACCTGCAAGGAGGAGCAGAGACAGGGGCACCCGGCCTCTGGGGGTGGGGGCTGGGGACACTTGTCTCCCTGGAGGCTTTCTCAGCCCGGGTCATAGCCCTGAAATGCAAGCCCTGCTGGTGGTCGCAGGGTGCACTGAGGTCATGGTGCTGCCAGTGTCCCAGGGCAACCGCTGGCCAGCGCTTTCCCGCAGAGCACCGAGCCCTGGAGAGGTGCTGACCACGCTGAAGGGGCTGAGAGTTGTTCTTTCGGTTGGACATTAGTGAACTAACCACCGCGAACAAACACACACATTCACTTCCTAACCGCCCAAAGCGAATCAGTAATGTTTCCCTGACTAATCGGAGGTAGCAGAGACCGAGAGGTGCCTGGCCTTTCTGGGTCGCGAAGGAGAATCGTTTCCCAGAGATGATTCTAGATTTTCTGAGATAAAAGGAAGGGTCAGGGTAAAGCTGCCTAAGCCGGTTGAGGAAGTGCTGGAAATGCTTTCCTCACAACTGGAAAGGAATTGGCATTTCTCAGCGGTGACCCACAAGGCCCCTGTGTGATCTGTTTCCATCTTCTTCACTGCTTTGACCATCGTGGGATCTGCTGTTGAGGCTTTAAAGACACTAAACTTGTTCCTAGTTACCTCCATTTGCAGTTAGCCCGGCCTTCCGCCTGGAATTGTCTCCCTTTCATCATTAAGATTTCTGATCAAATTAGTATTATCTCTGATAAATTTTACTCTTACTTCCCCCCCCCCTTTTTTTCATTTTAGCAGCAACTATTAGCACTGTTTAATTATGTGTTTATTTAGCCATTGTTTATAATATAAATCTGAGACCAGGCCTGATTTACCCTAGGAATGTGAGATTTGTTTAATATGTAAAAACTAATGTAATAGAATATGAGTAGAATAAAGGACACACTTACATCATCATTGACTGCCAAAATGGTACTTGAAAAAATCCAGCACTTTGACTGAAAAAAAAACTTATAAATAGACTATTCCAGTAATATTGACACTCCTCTTCAATCCCGTCGCTGGGGAAGGAGTATAATGCTAATCACAGTCAGGCTGTGCTACTATTGAGATTTTTTCCCCCTCAAACTAAAACCAAAAAAGAATTAAATAGAGAATTTTATCGTCTTGATAAAGTGCATTTGTGAAAAATCCCATAGCTAACATCATGTTGACAGACTACCTGCTTTACTCTTAAGATCAAGAACAACAACAAAATATGCTCAAAGTTTAGCAAAGCTGGTTCAAGTTTGCTAATGCACCAGGCTCAGTTTGTTCCAACAGAAAGAGATAAAGCAAAATCAACAAAGAAAAAAGTATAGGCATGGAGGATAAGGAGACCCTGCGGAAGTTTTCAAGAGTTCTCTAACTGAAACCACACGGGGCATACTTCATCTCCCTAGCAACATGTTTATAACAGTGTGTCTGAAATGTAGGTCTGGAGAGCGCTCTTAAACTGTAGAGTCCAAAATTTATTGGCAGTTATATTGATTTGGACACCCTTTATCTAGTATGTACCAAGTTCCGGTCTCCCAAAAAGAAAAGCTTTTATTCAACACACTTTAGCTGCATTAACAATTTGGAGAGTTGAGCTGGTTCCTTTAACAATGATGGGAACAAACCTCTAAGAAATCCAGCTTCTCAGATGCCATCCTGTAACACCCGATTCTGTGTTACCTCCTTGGTACAGTTCGGGCGCCACTGTACCGTATGCGAGTCGGGCAAGGGCCTAGAGATTGAAAGAACACACAAAGAGACCTGGTTCATTCTAAAGGAGATCAGCCGAATGCCATTAATTCAACCTTGGGAAAATCCTTATATACCTAGCTGCTGCACAAGGATTTCTGCCCAGGCAGGTGGGAAATTAACACACCAAATATGGAGTCAACAATGGCCTATGGCTAATCACCAGGTGGGGCAGAGGGAGCACAGGAACAAACAGAATGCTTTAGTTAGCTGACCAGAAACTGTCCTCAAGATGAACCCCAGGAACAAGGGTAGACCCTGGCCCTACACCATCCAAGAGCCAAGCTTACAAAAAGGCCTTGTAAAGGATTGCAATCTTGGTGTACTATGCTTGATCTTTTTAATCTTCGCATTTCTACTCAGCATTGTACTGGAGATTTTGGTCAGGAAATAAAAATAAATTTTAAGGGGAGATGTAAAGATAACTCTGTTTGTGAATGATATGCCCTTACATATTAACCCTAAGGAATTCACACATGTGCGCACACACGTAGCAAAAGGCAATACAAAAATGAAATTAGGAAAGCAGCTGTTTACAATCTGATCAAAGGAATAAACTAGAAATATGTAAACAAAGAAGTCCATGACTTTTGCACTGAAATAGTAAGTAGTAAATAAACAAAATGAGTGAGAAGAAATGTCATCATTATAGAAGACTAGCTTTTCCCCAGGTGGATCAACAAATTTAGGAACTGCGGTTGCTATCAAATCTCAACCGCCTCCATTGCAGAAGCTAATAAATTATGCAGAAGTTAATATCTAAATATAAGAGACTAAGAATAACCAAAACAGTCTTGGAACAGAAGAACAAAGTTCCTTTTGCACATTCTTTTCTCTTTCTCTTTGAAAATTTGCTATATTGAAGATGACTAAAAGTTTGAGAGATAGTAATACTAATGATAATAAACAATGTGAACAATTATGCTGCTGATCTCTACACTTACATGTGATAAAAGGATAAATTTTATGTAACAAAGTTACTACATTGAAGATAATTTATTACAAAATTATAGTGATAGTTTCTTAAAGGGATACAGGCATAAAGAAAAAAAATACAGATCAATGGTATGGAATTGAAACTCGAAAACTAGCTGTCATGTTTAAGCTTTATTTTTTGTTTTATTTTATTTGACTTTTTTCAAAAACCAAAACAAACTATCTTTTTTCATTTTATATACCAATCCCAGTTCCCTTCCTTCCTCCCATTCCTTCCACATCCTCTCCATATCCCCCCTTCATGCCCCCACATCCACTCCTCAGAGAGGATAAGGCACATTGCTTTGAGGAAGGACCAAGGCCCTCCCTACTATATCTAGGCTGAGCAAGGTATCCATCCAAAGAGAATGGGTTCCNAAAAAAAAAAAAAAAAAAAAAAAAAAAAAAAAAAAAAAAACAGTACAAGCAGTAGAGATAAATCCAGGTGCCACTGCCAGCGGCCTCACAGTCTGCCCCAGCCATACAACTGTCACCCACATTCAGAGGGCCTAGTCTGATCCTATGTTGGCAGACTTTCCCATGAAGCAAGAAATTTCAAAGACAGTTCCACCAATATTGGCAGTTTGTAATGTAAGAGCCTAAGTTACTCTTAGGAGAGATAAGAATATCTTCTATTTATTAGCAAACAGAAACTTTCTCCAAGCCTCTGGAGAATGAGAGTTTTTGTCTAAATGCTTGACCTTGGTTAAAGGACTTTCTTAGGATATCAGACATTCCATTATTGAATATTGAAGGGTTTTTTATATGGCTTAGTTTATCAAAATAGCTAAAGTTTAAAAGTGAGCAAAGACAAAACTAGACAAATATTACTATGAACCAGAATAGTGTTATGCCCAGATGACAGAGTCCTCCAAAGAGTCAGCATCTGTATGCAAAAGCAAAAAGCCTTTATTCAAACTCGAGCTTGGACCCTCTGTGTGTCCAATGCAGTGGTAAGAGATCAGAGAGCCTTGAATTCAATCGGGGTGGAGTTTTTATCATAGCAGAGGTTGGGGTTAGCGGGTTTCTAAGGTTCAAATTGATTGGCTGACATTAGTCTTGGGGTGTGTCTTGGTGAAATGGGTTGGCTCTGTGCCGGGTTAAGGGACATCTGGCGATCCTATCTTCAATGGTTGAAACTTAGATATTTCCTTCGGAATGTTAGATATTTTCCACTTGGGTGCCAATTGGTCCATTCCTGAGTGGTCTCAGTTTGTGGGCTTTCCTAAAATCAGGTGCTGCTTTAGGGTAAATCGAAACTCAGGCCTACTTTTTGGCTGTTCTCTATTGAGTCTTTTGTGGCAGCTGCCCTGGGCCCTACAAGTAGACCTTGGGAATTTATAAATCTTGATTATCAAATATACCATATTTATCAAGCATATTTTACTTTCTAAATTTTCTAGAAACCTAGTATTCACTTGTATGGGAGTAGGCAGAGTTAGTTATGCTATATGGTTCCACAGTGGCAGGGATTTTTTCCAAAACATTATTTTGTTTAAA